ATGAAGGGGAAAGACAAGTCCTTCAACAAAGCCCTTAGCCATATTTGGTATGTATTCGGAGGCAGGGTGCCAGTTGCAATTATGCTTTTATAAATTTTAGAAGTGTTACCAAGACTAGGGAAAAAAGTAAGTAAACCCTCCCTTGAATCAAGCTCAATTCTGGATGAGTATATGGGTCGGACACCGCTGTTCTCCTGCCAAAAATACAGAAGTGATTTTCCATTGCCCTCAGAATCTCTCTCTCTCTCTCTAAATTTCCCAGTCTAGCCTTGCAGCCCTGCGATTCTATGGTGACATCCCGTCCATGTGCTAACCAGGTATGCTGATGGAGGGCCACCACGTGATAGATCAGAGACCAGGACTGTATATATCTTTTATCCCTTGTAAAAGCTTGTACAGATAGTCTCATAAGGCTAGGGTAAGTAGCAAAAGATCCCACTTATGAGCTGTCAGCCTTGATACAAGCGGGAAGGGAAGGGAAGGAGGAGGAGGAGGAGAAGTGGACCTTTGGCTCTGATCAGTTCAGTCTTCTCCAGCTGTTTTGGTGTCTTGCTTTTTGGAGGCATCTGGCTGGCCTGATCCAGCAGGTGTCCAGCAGGTGTGGTCAAAAGGTCAAGATGGCAGCCATGAAGATGCCATTGAAGCTTCACCTGTTTTTTGTGTTGGTCACTCTGTCAAGACCATCTCGACGACTTTGACCACCCTCTGTGGACACCCCAGTTTATTATGTTAAATATTTATACATCCTCTTCTCTTAAAACCCCCCAATCCAGTTTCACAAAAGCCCAACGTTAAAAACTTGTTCCTTTCTGCGTCTTGTTACAGTTCCTGTGTATTTTCTCTCCTTGAAGAGGAGGGCTAAGTTCAAAAAAACAAAACCTCTGTTTAAAGTGCAATTATAGTCTGCACCCACTCTCAGTTTGAGTGTTGTGAGGTGGGAGCACAGAAGGAACAGAAATAAAATTCACCTTTTGCTTATTTTTTAGAAAGGATAAGATGATCAGATAATGGAGAAAGAACACCTAGACTTTTGTCAGAAGTAACCACACGCTTTTGGACAGTATAACATAATCGTATTTTGCACAAGCAAGCTGGAAGTGGGGCACCCGTGGGGACATATCAGATGGGGGGAAAAAAGGACCGTTTGTGCTGATGTACCAGGAACAGAA